AGAGACCGTCTGAGATCTAGGCTTGTCTTTTGTTTTTGTGGTTCAGGCCGTTGAACTTTTCTCCTTACTGCAGACTGTTTATCAAAGTTCTGCGTTTTTATTTTTGGGGCTGGAGGCAATGTAATTTTTTGTTTGACAGGAACTTCCTCCTCACTATCACTTTCAAAGTGAATGTTTGGCCTTGTAATGGAAAACAGAAAATAAATACAAAATCAATTTCAATCAATTAAAAAAAAATTTAATCTCTTTTAAATCAAGATCGGAAAAGAGATTTCTTAATAGTTGTAGTCTGGTCCTGAATTCTTTTTTTCCCATTTGCCCCATGCTTATTAAGAACTCACGTTTTCTGCACTGCTGTCTCATATGTAAGTTCAGTATAGAGGGCTCTGATTCATCATGTTCTGACCATTGTATTATTTTTTAGATTGCAATTCTGGGCATGGTCTAAAATTCAGTAGCTACCAACATTTTTGTTTGTTCATTTCAAATACATTTTGCCTGGATTTCTCTTGTAACTGGTACTTAAACATGTTTTTGCACTTACAGACGTTTTCGTTTTTTCTTTGGATAGTCATCCTTGTCTTCCTCTGCTGTTTGCAGATCAGTGTAGGCTTCAGCTTCAGGAAGTTTTAGACAAGCATGTTTGTAGTTTGCTGTAAAAATATATAGAATCTCATGAGATGATTGGTTAAACCATTAAATCATGAAAGTACATGTGATATGCATACCAGCTGTATATAAAATTTGAACACGAAATGCATCCCATGTGACTCCAGGCTGCTCCTGGCTCCGTACGGCCTTCACTAATTCATCCGCTTTGTAGTGAGCTGGCCATTGACAAATTTCATCTGTAACCCAAAGCGCTGGCACAACTTCCACCTCTTGGGTTTCCAAAAACTCCACAATGTGAAACATGGCTTAAAAAAACAAACAGACATTAGCTGTAAGGTTATGAACAATATTATCTATGCATTATCTATCTATAATATATGTACTCTTTTTAACTATAAAAAAATGAAAGAGGTTTTACTTAAAGTAATTCACACCCTTATAAAAATAAGTTTATTAAAGTGTGCTATTTATTTTAAACTTAAAATAGGAACTCATACTTTTATAAATTGCCAATTTAGTCTCATGTGCTAGTAGTACACCAAGTACACTACTAGTTCATTGATATTAGTATATTATATGTATAATTTTACAAATACTTGTCATTTACTTAAAAATGTATACTTTTTCTTAAAGATCTTTAAAACTGAAGACATTGGTATAAACACGGGATACACACCTACAAGAATTAGGGAAGACAGGCTGTCTCCACAGTATAAACTTGATGTTTATTTGCACAAAAATTAATAATCAATAAAAATCAATAATTTTCTTCAAGAAAATATGTAATGCTAAAAATCACAACACAACACAATGCTAAGGCTGCGACCTAGGATGGGTCTGCATGTAAAATTGAAATAACAAATCCAACCTTCAAAGGCAATCGTACACTTCTGCACAATACCGTCAAACTTACATCAAAAAGCAAATTCCCAATTTTGTAGAATCAATGGGGTAGTCAAAAAAACTTTGCGATATGTCTATATTCTTTGTAAACAATGTATTCCTCGAACTCAGAGACTGTTAGGCTATATTTTGAACCAAAACAATCTTATTGTTAATCTTAATACACCTGTCCCTCTCAGATGAGTTGATGACCACTTTCACACATACAGACCTTTCCGCAATTTTCCGGAAAGGTTTGTATGTGTGGACAGCATGGTGGACAGGCTATTTTCCGGAAAGAGAAGTGGTAACATTACCGGTAATTTGCCGGCGCTGTGTGAACGCAGAAGGAATATTGCCGGAAAGAGCGCGTGCACGTCTAGAACGCGCTGACGTAAGACGTCTACTTTAGCCAATCAGAACACTCAGACGAATTTACGTCGGCGCGGTTAATGAAGATAAAAGCCTTTGAATTTTTTTCCAGACACATTTTTAACTGCTAGATGTTAGTCAGATAACGTTTCTATGTTCCTTCTTAATGCCAACTGTGTAAATACTTATCGATAAGATGCTTATGATAAGCCGTTGTTTACCTTCAAGCTTGACATGCGAAAGTACTTTTCTAAATGTTTTCATCAAAGTTGTTCACAATACGATCCATCTACAGAGTTTGTATTTTAGTCAAATGTTTACAAATACAAGCCCAGTTTAGAGGTCATTTCTGGTTAATGATGTCAGAATTTACAGGTATTTTGGAATGGATGTGTGAATGGTCTTTTCCGGAAAAAAAATCTGTACCGTCCTCGCTTGAGTGAACAGCGCTTTTTTTAATTTACCGGTAAAGTCTTTCCGCAAATTTTCAGGATATTTACCGGTATCACTGTGTGAAAGGGGATAGCCATAGTCATCAAATGACAGTTTTTTTGAATTGGGAGACTGTTTCTGTAAAGCCATATAGAACCGGTCCATCTGAGTGCCTCATTCAATTTTTTTTGTTGGATTTACATGTTTCCTTATCTTTTAAACTGTTTGAATGAAGTTCAGACATTTGCCGTACAACTTGTTGCAGTGGTGAGCTAGGTTTTCTAACCATCCCTTTAATTTGTTTCAAGTAGTTGTCATAAGGAAACCATTATATTAAGTGTCCATGCACCTTCACATCATCACTAAGATGAGTCAGACCATGAATGTTATCAAAACTAAAAACCCATGACCGTACATTTCTCCAAAATGTTTAACAAATGATCTAAGCAGTGTGTTGGCAAAGTCATTTAAGAGCAAACAGTATGTAGGACTTGCCAAGATGTATACCAGAGATAGCAGCATAAAATTCTGATAGACCTTAGTAGGCAAAAAATCAAAGCGATTGGACCAGTATAAAGTAAGAACTGCCTTGTTTCTTTCCAACACAACCTCTCATCTAGGCCCCTTGGCTTTCTAGCAAATTCTGAAGGTATGTAACTTCTGAGTTCAATCAGTTTGTCTGAAATTAATGTCACCTGTGTGTAAGGAATACGACAATGTAATTTTCCAGAAGCACTGATCCACAAATCAAGAAGATGACGCATCACACCTAAGCACACTAAGTGCGTATAGTCATGTGGAAATCCACTGACCACCCAGATAGCAAAATTCAGCCCACATACCGCATAAAATGATGGCACTTGGGCGGCACGCTCTTGTTTACTAGATCTGGGCCATAATTAAGCCATAGAAATACCACATATCAGCCAGAATTCATTCAAATGAATCAGAACTGACCCTATTCTGAGCCACAGTTTGCTTTTAATTTGGCCCAGATATGGCCCACACCAGACACTTACATCCGACCCACATAGCCAGAGTTTACTGTACTGAATATTTGCCAAAAGTGGCCCACATATGTTTTTAGGATAAATGGGCCACATTTGTTTTATCACATCTGGGACACTTTAGGCTCACAACCACATTAGCCAGAGCTTACAGCTTACTGTGCCGAATATTTGCCAAAAGTGGTCCACATATGTATAAGGATAAATAGGCCACATTTGTCATATCTCATCTGGACCACTTTAGACTCACAGCCACATTAGCCAGAGCTTACTGTGCCAAATATTTGCCAAAAGTGGCCCACATTTGTTTTATAATAACTGGCCCACATTTGCACCTACACATGTGAGCCACTTTGAGTTTAGACCCAGATTACCCTCTAATGACTATGCCAAATTTTTGCCAAATGTGGCCCACATTTGTCCTCTATCATTTGGGCCAAATTGACCATTTTCCACATGGGCCACATTAGGTTCACATTCAGATTACATTTTGCCATAAGTGCCAAATCTTTGCCTTAAATGGTCCTTATATTAATTGGAATCTTGGCCACCTTTTGTCATTGTACAGGTGGACCACTTCAGGCTCACGTTTATTTTGTCTGGCCCGAAAAAAGACCAACAGTGCAACATAACTGCCTAAAGGGGCCTACATTTGTATGCTATCTGGGTGTTGTTGATATTCAGGAATTTTTATACTTTTTTTTTTTTTTTTACCAAAGAGGCTAGAAAATTTCTAAAGAATTCATTATTATCGTTTTATTATTATTATTATGTTTTAATTATAATTTTTATTAAAATGGCCAAATTGTGACTGAGGACAGTTGAATGTGCTGGCCAGTTTGTTTTTTGTCTAATAAATGATAGTGGGCTACTTTTTTTTACTTTAAAACTTTAACAGATTGCTATTTTTTCCTAATGATAAATGATGTAATAAATTTGTATTTAAAAATAGTCTTGTTTTAATTTTTCTTTATTGCATTTTTTCAGGAAATATTTTCAGTACATCAAAAAGTGTGATTATGATAACATCTGACTAGCTAATCCAGCAAAAAAAAAAAAAAAAATTTTATATATATATATATATATATATATATATATATATATATATATATATATATATATATATATATATATATATATATATATATGACTAAAATGTAGTATTTAAATCTCATAGTTAAATAGAAACTGAGGTGTATAAGTGCAAAAAAAATCCACTTTTTGAGAAAAAAAGAACCACCCCTTTCACCAGACTGGCTACGGGCCTGAAAGGGCTATTTTTTACTTTTTTTTTTTGAGTAATATTTACATACTTTTACTCTACTTGCACTACATTTTGGGCAAGTAATAGTATTTTTACTTGAGTATGATTTTTCTACATTTTTTTGAGCAATATTTACATACTTTTTCTCTACTTGCACTACATTTTGGGCAAGTAATGGTACTTTTACTTGAGTATGATTTTTCAACAATCTTTCCACCACTGCTCGTTTTTTTTATGTAGACTACAGAACTCGTTAAAACATCCATATCTTTAAATTGCATCGCAAACCTAGTGCTTTATTTCACAATACAAACCTAATCACATCAAAATGATTAAATCAGCACTATCTACCGTACAGTACCAACAAACAGCTCGTGCGCGCGCGTGTGTGACGCAATGCAGACATCTCTTCGTGGTCGCCAGTGAATGACGAAACGCGGAAGACAGTGACGTTTGTTGATTTCTGGATTTACACACACCGGCGCTATTTTGATCAATCCTAGCATTTCAGACATGTTTGTAAGGCAATGAAAGTGCTGTTTATGCCACTGTGGGTTAAAGACGTCAAAGAGAGGAGCACGAGCGGCTGTTTGTCCGTCAGAATCTCAGGTAACGTACATATAGCGGATGATGATCGATCAACAGATCATATCATCGACTTCATCTGATTTCATCAACAGTATTTTATCATCAGACTAATGTCACGTAGACACTGTTATTTTATTATTTTTCGTCGTTTTGATGTCCTATAGACTAGTCAATAATAACTACAACTAGTGCGATTATTGTATAGCTTTATAGAGGTAAAGTTGGTTTTATATTCGCACATTCGTTCATTTAGCAGTCTGTATATTGTTTACCATGTTACGTTGAATATTCGATCGAAATTAGCTTGCAAGTATGTCTTCAAAACAACATTTAACATTATCTAATTGATTGTGGACAATGTTGTACTTTGCTAGTCACTGGCTGCTTTTATGATTTTCCTATTTAGAATTTGCAAATACTTTAATGACATTTAAGGAGAATGTCTGAATATCCGAATATAATTATAAAACCAACTTCACATCTATTATAGCTTTTACTGTACGTTATTTCAGTTATTAACTTTTGTGAAATCGTGTTGCTTGTAATTTACGCAAGTCATGTTATTAACTGTGTCTGATATGCATGTATACAGTAAGTCAGATAAACTAAAAGCTCACAAATCCATATATTAATATCAAAACATTGATAGTTGCCTGTTGCATAATATAGAATAATATATAAAATAATACATTTGATTTGTAATGCGCTTTATACTTAAAGCGCTACAGGCAAAACACTAATACACAAGGCAAACAAAACAGCACAACAATAAAAGATACAATAAAACAATAAAAATATGAAGCATAAAATAGAAATAAAAAGTTAAACAAAATGATCATCCTAAGTTAAAAGCTATGCTAAAAAGGTGAGTCTTAAGAAGTTTCTTAAAACAGTCCAGAGGCAGCATTTCTAATGCTGATGGAGAGTACATTCCAAAGCTTAGGTGCACTGTGTGAAAAAGCCCTCCCACCCATGGTCTTGAGTTTACACCGTGGCTGATGCAATGTAAGTCTGCAGAACGAAGACTGCAGGCTCCGGTGGCGAGGGTCAACAGGTTGCAGATGTAACTGGGTGCTAACCCATGCACTGCTTTAAAAGTTAAAATCAAACCGTGATTTTACAGGAAGCCAGTGTAATTGTTGTAGCACAGGAATAATGTGGTGGCGTGATGATGTGTGTGTTAGAACCCGTGCAGCGGAATTTTGTATATATTGTAGTCTTCTGAGAGAACTTGCAGGTAAACCCCCAAAAAGTCAGTACAAAGTACAAAAATCAAGACGTGATGTGATGAAGGCATGGATAAGCCTCTCTGCATCAGAGAAATGGTCTGATCCGTGCAATATTGCGGAGATGAAAGAAGGCAGTTTTTTATATCTTCTGTATGTTCAGAAGATTCTGTATACGGTAAAAAGCCCTCCCACCCATGGTCTTGAGTTTACACCGTGGCTGATGCAATGTAAGTCTGCAGAACGAAGACTGCAGGCTCCGGTGGCGAGGGTCAACAGGTTGCAGATGTAACTGGGTGCTAACCCATGCACTGCTTTAAAAGTTAAAATCAAACCGTGATTTTACAGGAAGCCAGTGTAATTGTTGTAGCACAGGAATAATGTGGTGGCGTGATGATGTGTGTGTTAGAACCCGTGCAGCGGAATTTTGTATATATTGTAGTCTTCTGAGAGAACTTGCAGGTAAACCCCCAAAAAGTCAGTACAAAGTACAAAAATCAAGACGTGATGTGATGAAGGCATGGATAAGCCTCTCTGCATCAGAGAAATGGTCTGATCCGTGCAATATTGCGGAGATGAAAGAAGGCAGTTTTTTATATCTTCTGTATGTTCAGAAGATTCTGTATACGGTTGAGGTAAAGTTGGTTTTATATCCCCACATTCAGACTTTCTCCTTAATAATATAATTTTAGAAAAGTATTTTGTGCAAATTCTAAATGGTGAAATGCTAATTTTGATTTAAATTCATACGTGCAATTTCACACTGAATACTCCATTCTATTACCATGTTAAACAATATAGGGAGCATGTCACTAGTTGTCAGTAAACGAATGTGCAAATTTAATAGCAACTTTACAGTGTATGAACGCATGCCTGGTAAACAGTGGATAAAAGGTAAAGTCGGTTTTATATTCGCCCATTTGTTCATTGACAACTTCTGACATGACCCTGTATTGTTTAACCATGGTGTTCGATGAAAAATACAGACTGTGGAATGTGTTTTTAACAGAAATATTTTGTAAACTGAATTCATGAATGTAAAATGTTGAAAACAGCAGATTACTGGCAACCACAGCGGCTGGTATTTTTCCGTAAAATCAAAAAAGGAAGAAAAAAAACAGCAAAACGGTTTTTGTGTCACCATTGTGGAGGTTAGTAGCGTCTGTGTTCAAGTCCAAGATGAACTAAAGAGTATTTAATGTTATGCTGCATCTTCTTTTGTTTAAAGGTGACTGTGTAGTTACTAATGCAGTCAAAATCTGTTTGCTAGTTGCAATCACACGTGAACACATTATTGCATTTAAAGACTTTACATTTTTGTGCACTAAGCTATGATTTTGTAAACTAAACACTGTATTAGTTCATGGTTATATTTCGTACATTTATACAGTTCTATAAAACTTCCATATTTTTCACAGAAAGATTCTGGCAACCACAGCTGCTGGTATTTTTTCGGAAGTTTAACAGATATTTTACACAATAAGAGTTTGCTAATCAACACTCTCTTGGTGTTGATAATGTTAACACTTTCAAAAGTGTTATTTTTAACACTTATAGTGGTTCCTATATAAACTCTGAGGGAGTGTTAATTTTAACTCTAAGGTAGTTAAATCTACTATCTAAAATTTGCAGTGTACTTTGAATATTCAGTCTGAAATCACATGTGATTATGACTTGAAGACAACATTAGCACTTTATTTGACTGAACAATGTTGTACTTCAGTAGTGATTGGCATTTAGAATTTGCTTACTTTTCTGAAATGTTATTATTAAGGAGAAAGTCAGAATGTGTGAATATTAAACCAACTTTACCTTAATTATATAACGTTGCTGTATTAATGAACTAGTAACTTAAAATAGAATAAATTGTGTAAATGAATGATTAATCAATACAAAACACATTATTGAATAAAGTGAACTTGCATTTTTAGGTTTGAACTGAAAGCAGCTCCCAGCAAGCAGGACTAAGTTTTTTGTTTACATGAATAACACATTTTTTGCATAAGGTTGATTAAAAGTAGTAAAATACAGAAATAAAAACGTACAGAATTTCTATTATTTAGTTTGCTAAAAATGTATTATGTAAATGATTTATGTTCAGTTGTTTAGTCAGCATGCAGAAAAAGGAGACGGGATCAGAGTCAAGTGATTTGATCACAAGCTGGTTTGCTGTTTCCTAGAATCATGACTGAATTCTAGACTATGGTTCAGCAAACTGTTTCCTCAAATGTGTTTCCCCCATTTCCGTCCAATGATTGATGTGCATTTGGTGTGATTAGCTTTTTAATGCTTAGACACTGGCTACAACCTTTAAATGTTAATATAAATACTATTTTAAAAACTATAATATTGTTGTGCTGTTTTTTCTGTGAATGAAAAAATGCCTTTTTAAGTAATAACTGAAACAGAAGTTACGATAGTATTTCCTTCCTTATTGTGATATATAGCCAAAAGATAACGGCTTCTGAATTGAGAGAAAAAAAAAGATGTATGGCAGGACTTGATTTTGTTCATCATAATTGATTATAGGTTACAATGGCAGATGATAATAATAATAATAAAAATTATAATAAAAACAATAATGCTGGTAATGTGCCCAAATTAATAATTAATTACACATTTTAAGAATTGGGAATATTGTAAATAATTTAACGAGGGGCTCACAATGTCTGTACAATTTTCAGCTTTCTTCAAAATATCTATATGTTTTTAAAGAGTATTTATAAAAAAAAATTACAGTATCTGAAAAGAGTAGCATTTTTGAAAGTTTTGTTTTCTGTCATGTTTGATGTACCTGGTTACAAATTTAAAATGAAAAACCAAATGGCTTACCATTTTGCAACAACATTTACATATAGTTGAAAATAATTAGCTCTCCTGTGAAATTTTGATTCTGTATTTATTGTAAGTCTTAATCATTTTAATTTGGCTAGATTGTGTATAGTTTTTTAAATGTACAAACATTGTTAAAGATAGTTTAAATAGCTCTATATGTGATGGTTTTCTAGGGAAACTAACTGTATTCGGGTTCAGAAATTGAATAATTACAATGAAAAAAGGCTTTTCTTACTTTGCTTTGTCTCGTTTAGTTCAAATATTTAAAAAAATGTAAGAGCAAGTTGTTTTGTTTTCACCTTCAGAATATTACATTTTTACTTTAAACAAGCTAAGTTATCTGCCTGTGGGGTAAGCAAAATAATCTTGTTTTCACTTTGAAATGTAGATATTTGGACTAATCCATTTTTTAAAAATAAATTCTATATAAATACAGTAATTAAATACATTTCTGTAGGACTTGGTCAACTATAATTCAGACTCACCATTGCGTATCTTGCGATTTGACTATTGTGAATGTGCACATTGCCATACTGATGCTGAAACGATTTGTTGTGTACAATTATATTGCAAAACAGCTAATAAGGACTGCCTTTTTGTCAAAGACAAAAGCAAATAGTTATATTAAAAGTAGATATATTAGTTACACCATTATTTAAGTGAAGTTTCACAAACTAATTTCAAGAGGAGCATGTGATATTATTGATCATGGCTGACTCTCATCTGTAATCATTAGTAAACCAATCGGATTATTCCAAACTCACTATAAATATCCTGTCTAGCCTCACTCCCTTATCTTCGTTTTTTGAAGAATCCCCCTCATCCACCCCATCTCCCACTTTTCTCCTTAACCAGGTGGAGCTCTTAAGAGCTACCTGATCTTTTACACCCTTACATGATCATTGACCAGACGGGATCCCTGGGCTCAATTATCTCATTTATCTACCGGGACAGCATGCCAAACCTGCTAATAGCGTCAAGCAATATCGAAGTGTGAACTCTTGAAACCATCTTCTCTCCTATTAACATCACTTGGGAAATATTTAATAGAATTAAAATTTTACTGAATAACTTGGTCTTCAACTGTATATATCTTGTCATTGCAATACCTATACTGGTTGAATTTGATACAAGTTCCTGAACAATACTTTTTTTCATACCAATTTAATAAAATTTGATTTAATAACATTACCTAAAACATTTTTTCAAAGCCAAACTCTCAATAGCACGAAGAAACAAAATGTAACCAAACCAAATAAACTAACTGCAATCAAAATGTAACCAAACCAAAGCTGAATCAGTCCAAATAAGGTCAATGATGTATGTTTTAATTTACTTTGACATGAGGGTGTTTTTAAATCTTCCAGTGTTCGATAAGGTTTATCAGTGGTGATGGCTATCCTGTTTGCCGTGGTGGCTCGAGGATCAACCGTTCTAGCTAAGCATGCGTGTTTCTCTGGCAACTTTCTGGAAGTGACTGAACAGATCCTGGCCAAAATCCCATCTGAAAACAACAAGCTCACATATTCTCACGGCAGGTACAACTGACATTTTGCTAATGCAGTGTTTCCCAACTCTGTTCCTAAAGGCACACCAACAGTACACATTTCTAACCTCTTCCTAATCAAACACACCTCAATCAACTCATCAGAACGTTAGGAGAGAAAACCTGAAATGAATAGGTCAGATAAGGGGGACATCCAAAATATGTACTGTTATTGTGTCTCCAGGAACAGGGTTGGGAAACACTTCTAATGTGCTGTGAATACTTTACCAGCGATTCTTTGTGCTGATTTAAAGTGTTTCTATTGTGTTTTCTCTCAGCTATCTTTTCCACTACATCTGCCATGAGCGGATTGTCTATCTGTGCATCACTGATGATGTGAGTATCCGTCACATGATCTCAGCTTCTCTCCAGCTCCATTCACACACTTAACCGTTTGTCTCTCTTTCAGGAGTTTGAGCGGTCCCGTGCGTTTGGCTTCCTCAATGAGGTAAAAAAGAGATTTCAGACCACATATGGCTCTCGAGCACAGACCGCACTGCCCTACGCCATGAACAGTGAGTTTTCCAGCACACTGGCTGCACAAATGGTACGTGCGTCTGCCATCTTTGTATGTGTTTTGTACACTTTCAATAGGGGTGCACCTATATGGAATTATTGACCGATACAGATAATCGATGACTCTTTAGAATCGGAGGCCGATATACTTTTTAAGATATTTTTATCCTTGCCATGATGACAGTAAATAATATTTTACCAAATAGTTTTGAAGATACTATTAAGCTTAAAGTGACATTTAAAGGCTTGATTAGGTTAATCAGGTTAACTAGGAGAGTTAGGGTACTTAGAGATAGTTATTGTATAACTATTCTGTAGACAGTCTAAAAAAATATAGCTTAAAAGGACTAATAATGTTGACTGGGCTGCACAATATTGGAAATGTTTGATATTGCATTATTTTATGTTTCACAAGATGATGATACTTCATGATACAGTTTCACATAGGGGTGTCACGATTCTTCAAATTCTCGATTCGATTACATTTTCGATTCTTAAGTCACGATTCGATTCGATTTTCAATTATGAATAATTAATTAATTTAAAACAAATTAATTATTTGTAGTCTACCGTTTAAACTACCTGACCTGTATGGTCTTTGTTTTACCCATAAACAAATCATACAGTAAATGAATAAAGGCACGTTACACTCATAATTACCACCTGTCAATCACTTTTTTCTTGTGAATAGGCAGTGATCTCTGTCGTTATAATGGCGTCGGTAAAAAAGACGCACAACCAACAGGAACCAGCCAACAGTATCTGAAGTTTTCGCTAAAATGACTAAGTACTAGTGTGAAAGTAAAAGATTGAAGCAGTCTTAACTAGGTTAATTAGGTTAACCAGGCAGGCTAGGGTAATTAGGCAAGTTATTGTATATTGATGGTTTGTTCTGGAGACAGTCTGAAAAACAATTAGCTTAAGGGGCTAATAAATTTGACCTTAAAATGGTTCATAAAAAATTAAGAACTGCTTTTATTCTAGCCAAAATAAAACAAAAAAGACTTTGTTCAGAGAAAAAAATATTATCAGACATACTATCAACATTTCCTTGCTCTGTTAAACATCATTTAGGAAATATTTTAAAAATAAAAAAACAACAAAGGGGGCTAATAACTCTGACTTCCACTGTATATATATTTACAGTAATTTTTTAAATGTTTTTAAGAAAACTTATTCAGTTCATCAAGGCTACATTTATTAAATGTAAAAAATGTTAAATTGTTAAATATTTATCAAAATTTTAAATAACTGCTTTGTTATTGTATGTAGTTTCAAATAAAATTATTACTCCAGACATTATTGCTTTTGTTACTATTGCCATTAATAAATATAATAATAATTAATATTAGGGATTTCTGAAGGATCATGTGACTGGAGTAATATAGCTGAAATTTCATCTTTAAAATCAATGGAATAAATGAATAAATTAAATGATAAACTACTTTTGAACAGTTATTTTATAGTGCAACATTTCACAATTTGTATTTATGATGAAATAATTGCAGCCTTGGTGAGCAGAAGCTTAGTTTAACATATTTAATCATACTGACCCCAAACTTTAGAGCAGTTGTGTATAGAATATTTTAGAAGCAAAAATGTGCACTTTAATTTTAACAACCCACAGACATCGTCACCAAATATAAAGCAGAGGTCAGACTTCCTCATATATACAGAGCCTCATTTCAATTTTCAGGTTTTGTAAAAATCGATCTATTGAACTAATCAATCTATTAAAGAAACGTTGGCTAGAATTCTGCATTATAGGCTTAAATTATAGAGAGACATAGCAGATGAACCAAGACTGCATCAGATCAATGTAAATCTTTCTTTCGAGCTGTCAGTGCGGAAATGAACAAAACAACAGCCCTAATACAACATTTTATACGATTAAAATATGGAATTATTAACAGATAGTAATTTCGGTCAATTTTCCTGACGGATAAACCGAGATCAGGCTGGATAAACAGCTCTCGGTAATATTTCAGCATGCTTTCACTTTCGCATTTACCGGCAAGAATGACATCTCGCCCTGCTCATCATTCACTCTTCATATAGCCGTATATATGGCTATTACACGATCATAATACACTGTAATATAGCCTGGGTCGTTAGTTTGTTGCATTGTTTTGTTTTCTCTCTACAATCGATCCGATCAGTAGGGCAGCGACCGTCTCATTCAGGCGATCTCGGACTGATTGACTTGGCGTGGATGCGAGCGCAACTGCTGGATATATGCCAAACAAACTAACGGGGGAAACGAGACAGATTCCGAAACAAACGTCTATGTGTGAAAGTGCCGTAAGATTGTATTTGCACACAATTTACAGACAGTCGCAGCACGCAGCTCTGGCTCAATCTGTCAGGCATCAAGGCAGCACTGTACACTGACCCGAGCGTCTCGCACGCTGGCTCCGGGCTATCGGGCAGTCCTTATTGTCGAGCCCTGAAGGTTTAAGCTCTGTCGACGGGTCTCCTGCGTCTGCACAGTTTAACAAGCACTTCAACAAGCGTGTTTTTTCCCGCTTGGCAAGCCAAGCTGACGTGACATGGGGGCGTGGCAGCATCGACGATTCTATTTTTTTATTTGATAATCGAAATCGAGCATAAATTTCGATCGATTTTCGATTAAAATCGAAATCGTGACACCCTTAGTTTCACAAGATACTTATAATGGCTCTATTTGACAGTTTTCTGGGGAGTTTTAACATGCAATATTCAGGTGCAGAAATTCAAAACTTTTCTTCTTTTTCTTACTTTGCTTTGTCTCATTTCGAGTGGAAAATCACAATTTTTAGATCAAGTAAAAACATTGTTTTTGTTTTCACCTTAAGAAGAACGTTTTTCTTTAAAACAAACAAAATTATCTTCCATTGGGGTAAGGAAAATTATCTTACTTTTACCTTGAGCTGTAGATTTTTGAACTAGAAGCAAGACAAAAATTTCAAGTTCGAAAATTTTTTGTTGTTGCATAAATTGTATAAATATTTAAACACAATTAAACATCGTCATTTTTTTTGCCCAAATTTATTAAACTCTCTTGAAATGCTCAGCCACAGGCCTAAGAACCACATGCAAATGATAACCTTTATGGGTTATGGTTAAACTTAGCAGTGACTCTACAAATCACTTGCTTTGTGCCTCCTGGTCAAGTATGATTAAGTATCGACATTGCATATCCTACAGTGTGACTACTGCAGATGCGCACATTGTGATATCAATGCTGAAAGTATATATTGTGCAGCCCTAATATTGATCTTTAAATGGCTTTTACTTTTGTCGAAATAAAAAAAACATACTTTCTCCAAAAGAAAAAATATTATAGGAAAAACTGTGAACATATAGGCGACACGGTGGCGCAGTGAGTAGTGCTGTCACCTTGCAGCAAGAAGGTCGCTGGTTCGAGCCTCGGCTGGATCAGTTGGCGTTTCTGTGTGGAGTTTGCATATTCTCCCCGTGTTCGCGTGGGTTCCCTCCGGGTGTTTCGGTTTCCTCCACATGTCCAAAGACATGCAGGACAGGTGAATTGGGTACACTAAAAATTGTCCGTAGTGTATGAGTGTGAATGACTTTGTATGGGTTTCCCAGTGATGTGTTGCAGCTGGAAGGGCATCCGCTGCGTAAAACAAATACTGGATAAGTTGCTGGTTCATTCCGCTGTCGCGACCCCAGATTAATAAAGGGACTAAGCCGAAAAGAAAATGAATAAATAAATGATACTGTAAACATTTTTTTGCTCTGTTAATCATTTTTGGCAAATATTTAAAAACATTAAAATAAAAAATTCATAGGAGGGCAAATAATTGTGATTCTAACTGTATATGCCAATATATGCGTGATTGCAAAAACAATTGGCAAACACATAAAGTGAACATGAATTTTATTTGTATATAAATTCAGAAAAGTTTGAACTGATCTCTGAATTAGCTATTTTCTTTGGCCAATTTTCTTTTATATGGACCATTTCAATGTAGTCCTGTCATTGGCCCGTGAACATTTCCTGCTTGTCATCAAACTATTTCATAGCTGTAACATGAGGCAATGCAATCATAACTAAATGTTAAAACAGCTATCATAACATTACTTATCAATATGTGGCTCTTTTTGTATTCTCAGAAGCTTTGGAAATTCAAAATGTAAGACAGTAAAATATGTTGGGACCGTTGTTTTTGTTTACATCCTTCAAAATGGTCTGCAAATAAGATCTACTGCTTGAACAAAAAATGTATAAATAAAGCAACCAAGTCAAGTCCTTAAACATTAACCAAAATCATTACGAGTAGAATAATTCAAAAGTGTCAGGCAGCAAGCATACATGTGGGCTAAACAGTGCAAATAAAAAATCATTCCTAGCTATATCAGCCTATAAAATAGCATCTTTTGTTTTCTGTCAGTCTTAGTTCGTCTTGCAACTACAGAAGAGCCAATATTTAAATAAATTTTTTTTTTTTTTTAATTGAAAAATAATACATAATGTATCAGCTTCAATATATCAGTCTAACTTTATCGGCCTGATAACGATGACTTTAAAATAGTATTCATCAGCCGATATCAATATGGTCGCCAAGATATCGTGCCTCCCTAATTTTCACATGTAAACACAACTGCTTTTTTTCTTCTCTTTTATTGTTTGTGTGTGTTACATCAGATGTTTACCAATGTTGTGAAGAATTTCCTTCAAAAATATTTCCGAACCACCACTAAAATTAGCATTTCCAAAAAGTGACTCTCATTGTTGTGATTGATTGCAAATCCCTACCATTTACATTCGCAACTTTCTAAATATCCATTACTCTAACTGAAACTGAAAGGGTGCTGATATAGGTCATGTAGTTGAGGATTATGATATGCTGAGCTTTAGCTTAGAGCGTATTGAAGGCTTTCCACATGACTGGGTTAATCTGTGATTCTGCAGTGCTCATTAGAGAGAGAAGCATATGGAAAAATGTCAAGTATTTATTTAGCATACACTTCAAAATATTCTGCAAGTCAACAGTTATTTAGAGTGGACACGACACTGTTAGCAAATACGTTAACTAATGGACCATCAGTCTAAATTGTTATCGAAAATTGCAATGTTACTAAACTATAAACTTTGAAAAACTATCAATTTGGCCAAAGAGAGCACTTTCCAGTGCATTGCAGTCAATGTGAGATTTACATGTTTAGGTCACTATGCCTAAAACAATATTTTTTGGCATTGACATGGACTTTCATTTCTGTAATTGTTAGAAACATCACTCAGATCCCAAAGGCTCAGACCGACTGACAGAAACACAGATGCAAGTAGATGACTTGAAAGGCATTATGGTGCGGAACATTGGTAAGACCCATTCGCTTTATATCGTTCTGTATAAATGTCATTGCTCACTTTTTGAGCGAATGTGTGCTGCAATTGTGTTCCTGCAGACCTCGTAGCTCAGAGAGGAGAGAGGCTTGAGCTGCTCATCGATAAAACTGAGAACTTGATGGATTCTGTAAGTTTTGGTTCTGTTTTCTTTTTAAAAAAATATTCTTTGTATTTTTCGCCCATCACCCTAGATCAGGGGTGCTCAATCCTGTTCCTGGAGATCTACCTTCCTGCAGATTTCTGTTGCTACCCATATCAAACACACCTGAACCAATTAATTAGCACCTGAACACCACTTGATGATTACAGGCAGGTGTGTTTGACATGGGTAGCAACTGAAATCTGCAGGAAGGTCGATCTCCAGGAACAGGATTGAGCACCCCTGCCCTAGATCAAATAGTTTGATCGTTATTACTAATTATTGCTGTTCAAATGAAGAAACTACACACATTTGAAAGTCAGAATATCAGGTATTTACATTAGGGCTGTTACGGTAGCGGATTTTTTGCACCTGCAGTGATGAAGCAAGTACCGGTTAACCGCATATATACAGTACTCAGCATATATAAGTAGACCCCTTACTAATCTCTCTTTTAAATTTATATTTCAATGGAAAGCTATACAATATTATATTTGTGCATATACATTAGATTAGTCAGTACTGAAGCCAAATCTGGAGGTTATCTAACAAAATAACTTACAATAATGGTCCAAAAACTAGTACTCCCAGATGTATATGTTATAGAAAAATTTAAATTAAATTAAATTTTATTTTTTAAATTTAAATTAAATTTTTTTAAATTACAATTTTTTTTAAAAAAAGAGGAAAAATCAAGTGAACAGAGTTACTGAAGTTGGTCCTGCGCGTTTGCGTTTTTTTTTTAGGTTACTTCTTTGGTTTGGTGCGTTAATCTTATTGTTGCTTTTATTCGATAGAAGGTAATGATTCGCACTCAATTGCTTCGTACTATTTTTATTTTTACTTTTTCTTACATTTTACGTATTGAAGGCTTTTCACATGACTGGGTTAATCTGTGATTCTGCAGTGCTCATTAGAGAGAGAAGCATATGGAAAAATGTCAAGTATTAGCATACACTTCAAAATATTCTGCAAGTCAAAAGTTATTTAGAGTGGACACGACACTGTTAGCAAATACGTTAACTAATAGACTATCTTTCTAAATTGTTATCGAAAATTGCAATGTTACTAAACTATAAACTTGGCCAAAGAAAGCACTTTCCAGTGCATTGCAGTCAATGTGAGATTTACATGTTTAGGTCACTATGTCTAAAACAATATTTTTTGGCATTCTGTAATTGTAAGAAACATCACTCATCACTCAGACTGTCTGTCTGTTATCACCCGTAAAATGTAAGAAAAAGTAAAAATAAAAACAGTACGAAGCAATTAAGTGCGAATCATTACCTTCTTTTGAAGTCAAGTGAAGCAAAAAAAAAAAAAAAAGGAAAACTGTAGTTTAAATGTTGTAGGTTGTATTTTTTTTTTGCTTAAATTTTATTGTATTATCTTTCAATTTTGAAATGTGTTTAGTAACTAAATTATTATTTTAATAAATATATTTATTTAATAAATCTGTTTTCAAGAGTTCACACTTAGATATTGTTTGACAACTGTTAGCAGGTTTGGCGTGCTGTCCCGGGAGACAACCCTGAGCTCGGAGATAGTTGAGCCCAGGGCTCCCACCAGGTCCATAGAGCATGTGAGGGGAGTACGAGATCAGGTGGTTCTCGAGAGCTCCACTATAGTAAAGGAGGAAAGGAGGAGAAAGGGGTGGATGGGGGGTTTCTTCGGAAAACGAAGATAAGGGAGTAAATTATACTTATAGTGAGTTAGTTTAGTTTAGTTTAGTTTAAACTTTATTGTCCGTTCTGCTTGACACAGAAAAGAAATTTGTCTTCAACACTGGATTTAGGACTACAATTACAAACATATAACAACGACACAATAACAACACTCATCAAGACAACAACATAGATTAAAAGTTTAAAAACCAAATTAGCCCCATGCACAATACTGCAAATCATTCTTGGCAACCACCTCATTCACTACAAACATTGATCCGATTTAGAACAACAACTGCCATTGGGATAAATGACTTTTTATAAGCATTTCTTCGTGCTTTAGGAAATCTAAACCTGCGTCCTGATGGTAGCAATTCAAATGCTGAGTGAAGGGGATGTGTATTATCTTTAAAAATCACAACTGCTCTTTTTTCCATAAAGGAGTCAAATAAAATCTGCAATGAATGCTGTTTGTGACCAGTTATCTTATTTGCCTGATTGATAATTTGCGCTAATTTCTTCTTCTGTTTAAGTGTTGTGTTACCAAACCATGAAACAATATTATATGTGAGAACACTCTCTATCAGTGATCTATATGCCAAATTTAAAGTCTGTGTACTAGCATTAAAACTTCTCAATTTGCGGAGGAGATAGAGGCGCTGACTTGCTTTCTTATAAACCGCCTCTACATTACTATTAAAATTTAGTTTATTGTCAATAATTGTGCCTAAATACTTAAAATTTGAAACCTGCTCTACTATTTGTCCGTTTATGGTGACTGGTTTAAAGAGTCCAGTATCTACTCTTCTTGTTTGACTCCCCAGACATAACTCTCTTGTTTTCCCAATATTTAGGTGTAATGAACTTTTGCCAAACCAATCTATAATACTATTAATATATCTAAAATATAAGGAGCTATTTATTTCTTCCTGACAGGAAACCAATGCCAGATCATCAGCATATTTTATGAGTGTGAGATTGTCATCAATATTGCACTGCAGTTCATTAATATATATGGAAAATAAAATGGGTGATAATACACATCCCTGAGGTACCCCTATATTTAAAACAGAGCAGTCAGACATAACATGATTAACACAGACACGTTGTGGTCGGTTTTTTAAAAACTAGTTAGGATAGATCTAATGGGCTAACTAATGAATGTAGATGGGTGGCCAGCTGCAGTCAATCATATAACGTGTTCCTCTCGAAATTAGTTTGTAAAACTTCACGTGTTAAAACCAAAATACATTGCCTATATTCACTGAGAAATGGATGAAAATATTCATTTTCAAAACGGGGTCTACTCAATTATGCTGTAGCCACTAGACTCTTCTGACAGGGTATTCGAGTGTCAGAATGTGGGGGGACTGCTGTACAGGAGTTATTATGGATTGTAGATAGCGAAATTTAGATTTAAGATCTATGGTATTGTCAACATTTGAAGTGGATCAAAAACTTTCATCAAAGTTTTCCTAAAACTATTAAACAATGTTTTTGATTCATCTCAATTGCTGATTACTACATATTTGATCTTGCCGTAAGTTGCTGATGTGGCAGTAAACAAAGACACAAAATCTGTTGTATCTTAATGAATATTTCTTTTTTTATTTGCAGTCGGTCACCTTTAAAACAACGAGTCGTAACCTGGCCCACGCCATGTGTATGAAGAACTTAAAGTTAACAGTCATCGTCGTCATAGTCGTGCTGGTAAGTTCTTGAGTCATGGACAAGCCTGCTAACATCTCAGTGAATTAGTTTTTCCTCTGTAATTGAGTGTAGCATTTGCTAGACCTGACAGATAGTCCTGTCCAAGATATAGGACGGTGGTTAAGCTACCATGTTCCTTGTGATGCAATCAACCTTGTGAGTGTGGGCCATTATCAACACACCAAGCTGACGATCAGTCTCTGGGCTTTGTCGGTCCATTGGTCAGGCTAGTTGGTTTGGTGTGTTCCACATATTTCTTCTCAACGATGAAGCTATTTGGCCCAATTGAGCGTGTAGAATTAGCATCAGATCATCGGCTGAAGAGATCGCTCTGACTGGCTTTTCAGCAACAAATCAGAGCAAGAGTGTGTCAGTGAAGCGACGTAGCAAGTAAATAATTTAGGCCAAGATGGATCACAAAGAGGCCAACCATAAACAATATGGATGATTAGATTATCAGACATATTAGCACGAGCCAATCCTTCTGTGGTGAGGGACAATTACTGTGATAATGGGACTAAATTCTGCTTTGTTAACACTTTGTCTGTGTGCATCGGAAGTTTGGTTTACCTTTGTGGTACGAGAAAACAGACTAGCGCAGTTTCAGTTTGCTTTTGTCTGTTTGGTGTGTTCATGTGCAGCTTTTTTGGTCCAGTCGTGAACTTTACCAAACATGCGAGGCAATAACACTGTTGCCTTTCGTTAATGCTAGTTGTTTGGCCTCAGTTTGGTGTGTTCTGGCACTTGGGTTTTCATCATCAAGCATCTGTCTGGCTAGTTGGTTTGGTATGTTTCACAGGTTGCTTCTCGTTAGGTTAGTCATCTAGACCAAACACTCAAGGCGATAACACTATTGTTTTTTGTTAGTCCTAGTTGTTTGACCTCGGCTTGGTGTGTTTCAGCCCTTAGGTTTTTATCGTCCAGCATCTGTCCGGCTAGTTGGTTTTTGCTGTGTTCCATAACTCACCTCTCGTTAGGTTAACGTCGGATCGAGTCGGCCCAATTCAGCATCTAGAATCAGGTTTGTAAACAATATGAATGATTAGATTATCAGACATTTGCGCAAGCTGATCCCTCAATGGTGAGGGACAATTACCTTGATAACCGTACTAAATTATGCTTTGTTTATGCTTTGTCTGTTTGAATCGGAAGTTTGGTTTCCCTTTGCGTAACGAAAAAACAGCTCTGGTTTCAGTTTGCTTTTGTCTGTTTGGTGTGTTCACGTGCAGCTTTTTGGTCCAGCCATGACCTAGACCAAACACGCAGGGCGATAACACCATTTTTGTTAGTGCTATTTGTTTGGCCTCAGTTTGGTGTTTTCTGGCATTTAGGTTTTCATCGTCCAGCATCTGTCCAGCTAGTTGGTTTGATGTGTTCCACAGGTTGCCTCTCAATAGGTTAGCCCATCTAGACCAAACATTCGAGGCGATAACACTGTTGTCTTTTGTTAGTGCTAGTTGTTTGGCCTCAGCTTGGTGTGTTCCAGCTCTTAGGTTTTCATCATCTGGCTAGTCACCTCTCGTCAGGTTAACGTCGGATCGAGTCGGCCCAATTCAGCATCTAGAATCGGACATCGGCTGAAGGGTTTGCTTTAATTTTTCATCATAGAGCAAGAACAAAAAATAAAGCAACGTAAACAATTCAAGTAAATAAGGAACACAAACAAACCGACTGTAGTTTCTCAAATATTTGTAAACGATATGGATGATTAGATTATCAGACATTTGCACGAGCCAATCCCTCTGTGGTGTGGGACAATTATTGTAATAATGGGACTAAATTCTGCTTTGTTTACACTTTGTCTGTGTGCATCGGAAGTTTGGTTTCCCTTTGTGGAACGAGAAAACAGACTAGAGCAGATCACGATTCTGGTTTTAGCTTGCTTTCGTCTGTTTGGTGTGTTCATGTGCAGCTTTTTGGTCCAGTCGTGAACTTGACCAAACACACGAGGCGATAACACTGTTGCCTTTCGTTAGTGCTAGTTGTTTGGCCTCAGTTTGGTGTGTTCTGGCACTTGGGTTTTCATCGTCCAGCATCTGTCTGGAAAGTTGGTTTGGTGTGTTCCACAGGTCGCCTCTCGTTAGGTTAGCCCATCTAGACCAAACACTCGAGGCGATAACAATGTTATCTTTGTTTGGACTAGTTGTTTGACCTCAGCTTGGTGTGTTTCAGCACTTTGGTTTTCATCGTCTAGCATCTGCCCGGCTAGTTGGTTTGGTGTGTTTTACAATTTGCCTCTCGTTTGGTTAACGTCAGACCGAGTCGGCCCAATACAGCATCTAGAATCGGACATCGGCTAAAGGGTTTGCTCTGTTTTTTCATCATAGAGCGAGAACAAAAAACAAAGCAACGTAAACAATTCAAGTAAAGAAGGAACACAAAGAAACCGACTGTAATTTCTCAAATATTTGTAAATGTTATTGATGATTATTAGACATATTTAAACAAACATCCCTCATTGGTGACTAAATGCTACTTTGGGCAATGAAATGTGCAGAGACAAATTTTAAACATTTTCTCTTTATTGAATGATGTAGTGAGTGATCCTGAGGGATCCTATTGTTTCACTAGAGTTGAATTAGGCATAGTTTGTTATGCCTAATCATAAAGTGCAGTATTACAACTATTAATTCTGTGAAATCTTAATTTATATAATGTGAAAAGTGTAATGATGATCATCTCACCATTATGATGACAATTACAAGCTATATATTGACCTTGTCATATACTTGTGTATAATTAAAGGCATGGGTTATAAAATTGAGCATACTGTTTAGTTAGTCCAGTTAGTCTATGTGCTAGCATAATCATACATCTACCATTAGCCTCCTAGCTAATGCAGCTCTTATTATCCACATAGCATTCAGCACAGATGATTCCTTGAGGTCCTAAGCAGACTCGATTCCGGTGGCGCTCATTTTTTCAACACACCCGTAACACATTTCACTACCTGACAAAAGTCTTGTCATCGATCCCAGTTGTAAGAGCAACAAATAATAACTTGACTTCTAGTTGATCATTTGGAAAAGTGACAGAAGGTAGACGTTTCAGATGAATCATGTTGAACTGCATCCTAATTACCACAAATACTGCTAAAGACCTATTGGAACCCACATGGACCCAAGATTCTCAGAGTAATCAGTCAAGTTTGGTGAAGGAAAAAACATGGTTTGGAGCATTCAGTATTGGGGCGTGCAAGAGATCTGCAGAGTGGATGGCAGCATCAACAGCCTGCGGTATCAAGACATTTGTGCTGCCCATTAGATTACAAACCACAGGAGAGGGCAAACTGTTCAGCAGGATAGCGCTCCTTCTCATACTTCAGCCTCCACATCAAAGCTCCTGAAAGGAAAGAAGGTCAAGGTGCTCCAGGATTGGCCAGCCCAGTCACCAGACATGAACATTATTGAGCATGTCTGGGTTAAGATGGAGGCGGCATTGAAGATGAATCCAAAGAATCTTGATGAACTCTGGGAGTCCTGAAAAGCGCTTACTTTGCCGTTTCGGATGACTTTATTAATAAGTTATTTGAGTCATTGCAGAGATGTATGGATGCAGTCCTCCAAGCTCATTATTACTGTATTGCTTGTGTTAATGTCTAAATAATATTCCCACAGCCCTGCAGTGTTTAGTTCCAACCCACTTTCCTGTAGGTTTGAAGCAAATGTGAGGGACTCGATTAGTTTGATTAGATGTTTTTAATTAGGGTTGAACCTAAAATATGCAGAGCTGAGGCCCTCAGGGAACTGAGTGTGACACCTTAAAGGATTAGCTCACCCAAAAATTTTAATTCTGGTATTAATTACTCTCCCTCATGTCGTTCCAATCCCCTGAGACTTTCAGATTGGTGAACAACTAATAATAATTCCGGGTTTTGTCTTGTTATCTCAGGTGGTGTTGTATTTTATTGTGTCGGGCGCCTGTGGAGGACTCAGCTGGCCAAACTGTCGGAAGCAGTAGAAAACCCTCGATGCTCCCTTAGTATGCAAGACCACTAGTTCTGGCCAACTCACCTCGCCCTCATTGACTACAGAGACTTACAAACACAGGACGACAGCAGTGTTTCCTGTTATGTTCCCGTCAACGTATCATCATCATCATCATCATCCTCCTCGTCATGTTGATGTTACTCGTATTTGATTCTTTGGGTTCTTTTCACGGTGTTGTGATGCAGATCAACTAGATGGAGAATTTAAAGAAGTAATTCACCAATAAATAAATGTTCTGTCGTCAGTCGTTTCCCTGCAAAACACGAGATCTTCATGCTGCTTATTTTACCGCACTAGAAGACGATTTGTTTGAAGATTACAGTTTTAAAAGTGCCATAAATGTATCATAAAAGCTGTCCGAATAACTCTCATGCTTGAAAACGAGGAATAGTTTTCGAAAGTTTTGAGGTTTATTATTCAAGTGTGAATTAAAGGGACGCTTAGGCTTATTTTAAGTGCCCTAGAGTTAAATAGTCAAGCTTTACCTTGTTTGAATTCATTCAGGTGATTTCTGTCTGGTCGGAGCACATTTAGCTTAGCTTAGGATAGATCATTGAATCCGATTAGACCATTAGCATCATGCTCTAAAATGTAAAGTTATGGAGTTATGATAATTTTTCTCCTCTGTAGTTACGTTTCGTTCTAAGACCAATGGAAAATGACAAGTTGCTTTAAATAGAAAAAATTATTAAAACAATTGTTTACAATGTTTTAGCTAGAAGCTAAAGGTCGAATACGATTCAATGATTTGTGCTAAGCTAAGCGTTCTCCTGCTAGGAAAGGCTGGCATGAAACTGATGTGGAGTGTTTTGAAACGGCACTGAATTCTGATCCGAAACACCCAGGTCACCTGACTAAAGTGTTTCGAAACACTAGATCACGCGACTACAGCGATTCAAAGCATTGGCCATTTCAGAAGTACTGAGTCTGAATACCAACTAATATTCTGAAATTATGACTATGTACTTTAATAATGTTACTTTGTTATGACCAAAACAGGACATTTAGACAACTCTACAGGGGTTTAATACCTCAATTTGCTCAACTTTTTATGACCACTAGATGTCACTGTAGAGACGAGTTTCGAAACATTTAGAATCTTCGACACATTTGCTTCAACTGTTTTAGTATTTTATGAAGCCTCGCTCTGCCCACCACTAGCTCCTGTCAGACACAGAGACCAGCTGAATGGATTTAAATATGGTTAAACTCAATTGTTCGACTTGTAAAATGAGCCTATTTAAGAGGCAGTGTTCATTTTAAATCTGTTAACTTGGTAAACATGTACAGTGCTCAGCATATATAAGTTAACCTCTTACAATCTCTCTTTTAAATTCATATTTTTACAGGAAGCTATACAATATTATATTTGTGCATATACATTAGATTAATCCGTACTGCAGCCAAATCTGGAGCTTATGTAACTAAATAACTTACGGTTACAATCCAAAAACTAGTACACTAAAATGTATATGTTTAAGAAAAATATTAAATACAAAAGAGAAGCAAAAAAATTTAGTTCAAATTTTGTAGTTTGTAATTTTTATTTTTTAGCTTAAATTTAATTGTCTTATTTGTCAATTTCTAAATATGTTTGGTGACTAAAATAAATGCAGCAAAATACATAGCCTATTTACTAAGAAATGGATAAAAAATATTAATTTTCAAAATAGCGTGTACTCAATTCTGCTGAGCACTGTACATTTATAAATGATATTTATTATTTTATCCAAAGTGACTTACAAGTGAGGATAAAAGCTCGTCAAATCATCAGGACTGCAGTATTTTAATGCTATGGCACGTTAGTTTTGATTTCTTTACCTCCGAGTATACTTGGAGGAGAGATTGTGTCTTCGACAGGTGGTTTGTCAAACCCACTCACCTGTGCTGGGCTAAAGTCCCTTTTTCACTCGATGGCCATCTTTGAAATGCTCTCAGGCAATATGAATAGAAGGCCATTTTATTTGAATGGGAAAACATCATTCTCCAAGCTTATAATTACATTTCATATTATGAATAACCAATAAAATTAAACAACAACTGTCTCTTTAGTTTGATTTCTAAATGTGTGTATCACACAAAATCTGCAGAAACTCACGTCTGGTCTGAGCTCCTCCCCCGGAGAGTTGTCATTCTATAACAATCCCTGATTGGCTCTTGTACTAGAAGGCAGGCTTTATCCGCCATATACCAGCCACTGATTGGCTCCTGTACAAGAAGGCGGGGCTTTAATCGCGATATTGACAGTTACACTTTTCCCCATTCAAAAAGATCAGAGTGGCATGCCTATAGTCTTTGGCTGAGCACACTCATATTGCACAATATTTTTCAAGATAATGGGGTGCTTATGAGAAGTTGTCTGGCGCATATGAAGAGGGAAAATAGTGTCACATACAGGTGGTCATATAAACAAGTGGGTTTGTGTGTGTGTGCGTAAGGGACTACCTTCATGATACACCAGTTTAATCAGCGTTATGTTCTACAGCATGTTAAACAGCAGTGTAAATCTGCTAAACATCTCTGTGTTTCACGTAAGAAAGTAACGTTTGACTGAAATGACATGAGGGCCAGTAAATGAAGAGTAAATTACTATTGGTTTTCGGCTAAATCATTTAAGCCAATTGATATCAGCGCTGTTGATGTAATAAAGCAGGAGATCAAAGACTGTAAAAAGCGATTAGTTGACTTTACTTTAAAAAGTGAGTAGACCAGTTGCTTTTCAAGCGATTAGTTGACGTTACTTAATAAAGTGAGTGAAGCAATTACCCTAAAATGATCAAGTAAATGAACTGTGCATAATTATAAGAAATAAGTCAACATATCTCTTCCAAATTGCAATGGGTTTACTAAATAAACTCAAGTTGTTGTTGTTTTTTTAAATAAAGTCAACATGTTGCATTTGAGCCAGCGCTACTATTTGCTTTATAGTAAAAGAATCACTTCTTGACTGTAGCTGATTCCTGATTTCTAATAATAATGACCACTGATGTTTCTTTTAGTTCGGATTGGGTATACACTGTTTATATGTTAATCTTTCTTATTATAGTTATACTGAAGGGAACGCGATGGTCCCTTGCTCTTATACCAAGTTTATATTCTACAGACTTTACTAAACGATGGCTTGTGATTGGTTGATTGACTGACTGATTGTGCTGAGTAGCGTTTGTTGTGGGTGAACCTCATAACCTGTTTACACGTTTATCCCAGAATCAAATAAAGATTCAAGTATATTAAGCGTCAAGAAAATAAAGCAGATTTTAAGATCATTGTTGTAATTTTGCGCTGATATTTTCTTGATTCTTCAGCAAACCTTTTGTCTCTAAAATGAGCTTCAAATGAGTTGCAGCAAAAGCAAACAAGTGATGCAGTAATCGCATAACATAGAAAGGTAATCAAACATATTTAGAAGGATAATTATATACAGATACATGCAAGTATTGAATAGAATATGGTGGAGCAGTGTGAATATATATGGATTGATGTATTTAAAATTTAAGTGCTGTGTCAGAATAATTATACACACCATACATTTCTCTTCCTACATGTTGGTATATACAAACGACACCCGGAATGTACATTTTGTAATGATGTGTACAGCTTAAATAAACAACAATGCCCATATGTTTTTTGTGGATTAAGTACTTCCTAGATTTTAGATGAGTATTGTTTTTATTTTATTTGTGTAGCACTTATATAGTTCATACTTCTTCAAAGCAAATTTCTGAAAATTGTTTCATCACACACCTCATTCTTTCTGAGGAATTAGACCAGAGATGCCCAAACTACGACCTGTGGGCCAACGATGGCCCATGGTAACCTTAGGTTTGACCTGCCAATCAATCAGAGAAGAGATGGACAAATGATGGAGAAGGTTGGGGTGAGTCCCTCAAACAGAGATCATGATTTCTAATTTTACATAACCTTTTGTGTGTTTGTTTAATTGCTGAGCAACAAAAAAAGCAAACTGAAATTAAATGTTTTAATTAAATGTGAATTAATACGATTTTTCAAGAGTTCACACTTAGCTGATAATCAATAAAGCGTATTTGGCATGCTGTCCCAGGAGAGAGCCCTGAGCTCGTAATATCCTCGAGCCCGGGGTTCCCTCCCGTTAGAAGGGCGAGAGGGGAATTCAAGGTCAGGTAGGTCTTGGGGAAACTCCTCTGCTTGTCACCGTGAGAAGTGTAAACTAAGGTTGTATTGGGTGATAATTAGTTTTAGTTGATTGGCTATGGTTTAAGTTTTTGGACGGTGGGAGGAAACCGGGGAACCCGGGGAAAACCCACGCGAACACGGGGAGAACATGTAAACTCCATACAGAAACACCAACCGGCCCCATGAGTTGGACCGGCGGTGTTCTTGCTGTGAGGCAAAAGTGCTAGCCACTGGGCCACCTTGTCGCCCGATCAGAAAAAAGTGGGAGGATGTAGGGGTGGAAAGGGGGGAAGCTTCAAGACGAAGATAACTGGAGTGAAAAACTCAGGTTATTTATAATGCTTCCATAATCATCTAATAGGGCTGATTACGGAGCTAACAAGGAGCCAGCCGTGTTGATTATAAGCACGTGATCTTCTCGAAATTAGTTTATAAATAAACCGCACTTAAAAGGTCATGAAACCCTAAAACACATTTGTTTAGATGTTGGCAGATATACATGTGTGTGGCACATTGCTAAAAACACTATTAGGACACATACTATCAAGTGAAAATGGATTTATTTACTGTCCTAAAAACACATGACAAGAGTCCAGCAATTAAACTGTGTGCACCAGATGTAACGTGGCAGAATTTTTAAATACCGCTATTCAGAAGCGCAGAAATGAGAAGATATATTGTCTAATTAATAATAAGCTTCTGAAGTAAATCTGCTGCTGCTTTCAGTATGGCAATAAATGTCACATAAAATGGTATTCAAACTCACATTATAGCATTTCACACTGAATAAAGCACATAATCAGTACCTGAGGTGATTATTGCAGTAGTATTTTATGCTGTTGTTCAGCTGCGATGTCGGATCATTAGTTTTAAGAGGGATTTCACACTTGGCTCAATTGCCTGGACTGTACCCAAGTACAATTGTCCCCCCTTTCCACCTTCTGTTGGTTTGTGTTCACGCTGTCTTTTTTCCTTCTGAACCCCAGTACGCTTGCGTCATCGAGCTGCTGTTTTGTTTAAGGCCATTGCTAGGTAAAAGTCACGAAAGCAAGCTTTAAAATGGAAAAACATTATAAATTTGGGTA